CTCATCCGTGTGCGTTCGCAAGTGAGATCGGAGGTTGTAGGCTCTAGTGAATCGCTTAGGGCATAGGGTGCACTGGAATGTTGCCGGGTGCTTCTGAACACGTTTCGAGTTTCCGTTATCCTGGGCATTTTGATATTCAGGATCCGCCAGTCTGAGCGCGATAACGTTGTTTGGTACAGCCGAGGTAGATTGTCGTCTGCGGCTAGGGCTTACAGCTCCCCGATCGAGCGGGGAGAGCGATCGTGACGAGTCTCGGCCGGAAAGATCAGATCCTAGATGAGGCGACAAGCTGCCAGCAGAAGTTTGGCGCACCATGCCTCCGCCGGAGCTGTTGAAGGGATCTGTTACTGCGCGGGGTCTGGAACGAGGGCGGCCTATTGGTATTGTTAGTTCTGACGTGTAAGCTTTGATACTATCACGGTGCCTTACCTCGCTCTGGTGGGGTGAGAGAATCTTGATCCATCTGGTTCTTGGGCTGTTCGAAGTTATTCTGTCTTGCCGTAGGCGCGAACTCGATATTGATGGCCGGCGCTTGGGGCATCTCCGGCTGTTGCAGAGTCGGGAACGCTTCTTGTCCGGTGTAGCCAGTACCACTGACAAAGCCGGCATTCTGTGCCTGAAGACCAAAGTTGGTTGGCTGGTTCAGCTCGGGCATCGACTGGGGGAGGATGCGCGGGGAGATGGCCGGGCTATGGGAGGGGCTTCGCCCTTGAAGGTTGGGGCTGCCCAAGGCGGGGTCCGAGATGGTGAAGTTGTCGAAACCCTGAATCTGCTGGTAGAGACCGGCATCTTGGGGCCGCTGCATAGGCGAATGACTCTGGTCGATTCCATCAAAGCTGTCGGCGCTCACCAAGTTCGGAGACGGTGCGGCGGAAGAGACGTCCGAGTACTCGGACGGGGACCTCCGGTGGCCTCGAAACTGAGGCTGGCTCCATTCATTCAGTTGGTTCGGCAGGAGAGCGGCCTCGGGACCGAGAGAGGCATGTCTAGAGTGACCCGCGCCCGAGGGCGGCGAGGAGAACTGGTGCTGGTTGAAGGCCGGAGACTGGTGTGCGGAGGGAGTCTGGTGGGGGTCCGGGTTGAGGAGGTGGGGAGGTGTAGGAGAGTGGTGGCTCTGCGGCATAGCCATGTTGTTCATGTCACCCGGGTTGAGGCTCTGGTCGAAGACACCGGTGGTGAACTGTTGGTCGTTCTGGCCGGCGTTGGGAAACAGGGCGAAGTCGCCGGAAGGGAAGCTGTTGGGGTCGAGGAAGCCGGCTTGGTTCTGGTTCGCAAAGGCAGCTCCGGACTGGTTGTAAGACTGCTGGTTAGGTTGCTGGCCGTTGAGGAAGTTATTTGTGTTATTAAAGCTTGAGAAGTCGGCGGAGGCGGCTCCGTTGAAGGCTTGAGTTGCAGATTGATCCAAGCCGAGACCGAGACCAATTGATGCTTCGGTATTGGGCTGGAAGGGATTCGGAGACGGAGAATGCGAAGGATGTCTTATATGAGGCTGTTGATGCCCCGCAGACGGTGAGCGACCGCGCTGGCCTTGTTGATCCATGATGTAAATGGATGTCGGTACTCGGGATGGAGGGATGTCGTGTGTACGTGGATGCGATTGCGGGTGTGTGTGTGTGTGTGTGTTGTGTTGCTGTCTTTAGAATCGGGGCGAGGCAGTTCACAAGTCAGCCTTTCAGGCACCGCACCGCCCTGGGGCTGTGCTGACGCGCGAGCTGACGGCACACAAACTGGAGGCGGCGGGGGTACAGTCGCGGACGACGAGATGTTATTCGCTGTCGCGAATAGGTTTGCGCAATGATAGTTTGTGTGGATGAGTGTAACTGAATGGTAGCGACGAGTAGAGAGTCAAGCAGCGACGCCGGAGACGGATGAAAGTGGTGACTGGAAGTGAAGAGGGTTTGGCGACGTTTTGGGGGCGTTGGAGAGAGAGGGAGAGAATAGCGCGGCGGGAGATTGAGTGGTAATGTGCTACAGTGTGCGAAGGAGGAGTTGAGATGGGGAAGCGAGGACAGGAGGGGGGCCGGACAGAGAGACCCGGTACCAGGGCAGGTCCACGGTGTGTGGAATTGGGGTCTGAGGGAGGGTAGTAGGAGCGTATCCGTAGGTAGGACTTGGGATTCGAAGGAGGAGAGAGACTTGGGACTCGGGAGCCTGTCCGTACCTTGGGTGAGGTGGGAGGGGAGGGGAGGGGAGTGTGGACGGTGACGGTGGGACAGCAAGAGGTGTGAGGTGCAGGGTGAGGTGGTTGACGGGCGACGTGGTTGGTTGGCTGTGATCCACCTGAGCGGCCCAATCTGGCTGGTTCCCACAAGGCTGTGCACGTTTGAGGATGGATCTTTCGGCCGGTGTCTTTGAATTGGTGGAGGGGTGGTACCACGAGGTGGGATTGTACCTGGAGTTATGCCTGAGATGCGTGCCGGAATAAAGTATTCCGTACTTGGGAGTCCCAACGTTGGGTCGGGTCAAGGTACCTCCTGCGTGTGTGCTCTGCAACGGCGCGCTCCGACTCGGATTGGAATGCGCTTAGGTGATGGATGTTGGTGCTTTCCGCTGGCTGCTTGCTCTGATCCGCGGTTGCTTCTTTGTTTTCTGGGTTCTGAACTTCTGCGTATGCACCGCGCCAACCAACACTTCCTTCTCTGACAGGAGCTACCTAGGTCAGGTACCTCTCGTAGGTACCTGTCAGTCCTTTCGTTGCTTTCCGGTTACCGTGTACGTTGGCCGCGCGTGCAAAGACGTGGAGCAGACTGCGATCCGGCACGATGGTATGCTACCAGCCGACAGGTAAAATCCAAAAATATCTTCTGCCTCTCTTTGCGCTACAGGGATCGAGACGACCAGCTGGCTGTACTGGGTACAGGTCAGCGTCTATCGTAGCTTCTCGGAGCTCTCAGTCAGACGGTAAGTTGGCCCTTTGCTTGCCACCTTACCTAGGTAGAGTACTCAGCAGCAACGACGGACGTTTGCTCCGTGTCCCAAAGCTCAAAAGGTTTCAACCGTCACTTTTGGGCTGTAGCTTGGAGCTAGGTCCGCTGTCCAGCCTTTGACAGATGCTGCTGATGACTGTTGAAGACGGGTTTGGTGTGCGGATGTACGTGTTTGCTTGCTTGTTCGCTTGTGATACATGCGACGAGACGAGAATGCAAAAGCTCAGATGCGAAAAGCAAAAGACGGTTTGATGCGCAGATAATTTTTAGAAGCAAGGTCCTCCTCTCCTCTGACTCTGACTCTGACCCTGCGTCTGCCGTCCGTACGGAGGGCCCCAACAATCAATCCAGCCGTGCCAGCAGATCTCAAACACTGTCGTGGTAGCAGTCACGCAAGGGAGGGCCTTGGGGGGATGGGATTCGATACTGGCAGGCAAATTGTAATAAGCTCGTGCTGGGAGTCTCGACATGGACATTGTTGGCATCGTGGACCCAGGCATGCCGACTAATAAAACTTCTAGGCAGCAAGAAGAGGGCCCTTTTGCAGAAACTTTGCTTTGCTAGTGCATGATGGCTAGGGGTCAAAGAAACGGGCGGGAAACGGCCGGCTGGAGGGGTAGATAGGGGTCTTGTTTCGAACAGGCACAATCCAGTCTATCCAGATAATGCACCACGACTGTGTACAGTGTGGTAAAGTCGAAGACTCGAGATCTGATGAGACTGTCACCATCACTGGTGAGGGGAGCTGGGCGGGCACCTCAGGGGGCATTTGCTTCCTATCCTGACAGGACTCGGCATCCAAAATTCCCACGTCTGATCCAGCATCACATCCCGTCCATCCCTTCTTGTTCCACCATCATCTAAATAGACAACTTTTACAACTTGACGATGCTCATCATATTACAAAGCCTCTTCTCCCTCAAATGTAGTAAATAGATGTCTATTCTTGTCTTGGGTCTGCCTGCTTACACGTAAGACTCTAGACTCCGAATCACCCCTAAGCAGATGCTCAAATGTGTTGGCCTCGGAATGGTAATTTACCTCGAGCACTTCACATTTCCACCATATTATCCTTTCCGTCTGTCTGACGCTGACTTGACTTACGAATACACCATCTCTCAATCTCTCAATCCCTCTCCAGTCTCCATCAATAAGCTGATTGCAACATACCAAACTTGGCCGTCATCTGGTTCCCTGTTCCAGCTGTTCCAGGTCCCGGTGTGTAAATGGTTGCGTTTCTGCTCACTCAGTTGAAAGTACCTCTTCGCAGTGGGATTGGCTGAGAGTACCTTTTCCCCAAGGGCACAAGGGGGTGGCCCCTCCAAGGATTACTGTGTACTTGTGACTGCAAGTGTTGGATTAGGCGTTCTTGCTTCTCGAATCTGCCTTGAGTGGGTTTCTTGTTTCCGGTCCGTGGCCATCCACTGGCTTCCAGCTGCTGGACATTGGCCCAATAATTTGAAATTACACTATTCCTCGCCTAGCCTTGGCATCTATTCTTTCTCCTACACACGCTTCCGGCCAGTCAGCATCGGAGGAGGCATCTTGATCATGCCATCGCAAGCCAGCCATTTACACTCTGCGAACTATACTACACCACTCACACCGATGCTACGGCATAGGGGATTCAAGCACCATGGTTTTGGCCCTAGAGTCTAAAGTCTCAAGTCTCGACACACCGACGCACTCTCTGCTCCCCTACCGCATCGGCGGCTTCAAGAGTCCGGTCACCTGTCACCGGTGATCCCTGCGCCTTCACCGTCGTCATCGTTGTCGTTGTTATTCTCGCCCTGGTCTAGACTTACCTTAGCTGCCGGTCTGTCAGACGCTGATTGACAGGTCCCATCCACCCACTTTTCACTTCCAATATCCAGCTCATTAGACGACCTGATACACGATGGAGCTCTGCTAGATGCACGATGTAGACACTATCACACACCGTCACCAATCAACATGAACGTTGGTCAAGGACTCGCCAACATACGGTCTATCTCCCATGCTGAGCTACGCTGATGATCCTCCTTTAGCGACATCGACGTGGACATCAGATGGAGCAGCCCACATGGAGCAGCAATGAGCATCAAACATGAGATGAGAGTGGACAGTCAAATGCAGACTTCATCAAACACTGGCACCACTTACAGCTGCCGTCAGCTCGCCAACGTGCCAATGTCTCGCGGGTGGGCACGCGAATTGGATCCAAGCTCGTTTCCCCCGAATAAGCAATCCGGATTCCAAGCACCACAAGAGGATGCTGACGCTCTACATAGCTACTTGCTCCGCCGGCTCGCCTATTCGTCAGTGAGCGAGCACAGCAATATTCAATCCACCCTTGTGCACCCCTCTGCATCTCTCTGCAAGGCCGGCACATGCATTCCTCTCAGATAGGGATCGAATGTGGCTCAAGTCTAATAAGGCATATGTCTATTACTTGGAACGAACATTCAGACGGATAGACTAAATGTCATCCGCACTGCCACAAACGACGTCCAATTGCACTAAACATTAGATGCCGAGTCCGCCATATCATCGATCAAGCTGTGCAAACATGCGTTGCCGCCATCATACAAAAATGATTTGCAACTTGCAGCATAAGCTAGCGTCGTCATCTTCAGGTACGAGTCTCACCGTCCCGTCCCTTGGTGCAAGGCACAGGTTGTGCCACCAGGTTTGCCATGAAGCTGACCCCTCAAATATTCGCTGGTGTCACATTTCATATGAGGTGCCTTACCAACAAACGTCTTGGGGGCGGGCTATTTGCCTCGATTGTCTCGCAGTATCTCTAGCCAACACAAGTTCGAAGCGGGCATTTCTCGTTCGTCTTAGATGGGTCGTCTACGATGAGGCGCAGTCCGGCGTGAAACAAGGACCCCATCGCCATATCACAACCAGCACCAACAGCCCTGTTCGACGATATGAACCACTATGAGATCAAGTGTCTTCACCGGATGGCTTTCCATTCTCCAAACTTTCTCAAGTGCCTACGGTCCACGATGTCTTCCTGTTCGCCGGGCCAATCACGGCCCCGTCGCAAATCTAGCGTCGCTGCAAGACGCGGAATCGCGCCCGACACAGCCACGCCGGCTTCGCGGCCCCTTGGCCCCCAAAATGCCAGGCGTGCCAGGCCATGCGGGCATGCCCACTCCCCCCGATATGAATAATGACATCAAGCATATGGTTCTTTGCAAATCCACCGCGCGGCAGGAAGAAGCTTATTCGAGAAAAGGTGCCCCGTTTCAGGTCCATCCGGCAATCCAAGGCCGTGATCGAAGCGAGGGACTCTACCTTTGGAAGTTTGGAACCCTTCGATTTCTCCACACACCGCGCGAAGCTCGGGACCCATCCCATGCTATGCCGGAGCGGGCCCTTCTCTCGAAAGCTTAAGGCGGGAAGCTGTGCTGGCTGCTCATGTCCAATTTTAGAAATGCCTTTCGGAACACGAACCGGACCGCACGGTTGGGACCTGGCATGTGTCCAACAAATACCAACCTGTGATGACAGTCGTCGCGTCGCCCTAGGCGTTGTCACCTTCCCCGGAGATATGGTAGTGTATCATGTCGCCCAAACGTCACGGGGCTAAGGGAACCAGACTTTTGAATTGGAACTCTTTGTCAGCACTGAGCTGGAGGCTGGAGGTTGGAAGTCTGAAGATCACGCCATGCCCAGACCCTCAACTTTAGGCAGCCATATTGGATTTTTGTTTTGGCTCTTTTTCATCGGATGAGACGTCGTTCATCCCAAGGAAGTGAGAAGGCCATGCCACAACCCCCCCGAGATCTTTTCTACACTACCCCCCTTGAGTGGCTGTGCTTCGTCGATCATTCTGGAGAAGAGACTGACATCCAGAGTTCCCCACTGAGTGTAACGAGATGCTCGCAATGGCAGGTCTTTACATCAGCTGCTACTTGGGCAAATACGCCAACTTGCAAATGGGAAATTGGAAATTTCCCTAACGCCATGTGAGACTATTTCTCTATCACGGCATCAATCTGAATCCGTCAAAGGACCCGTGCCGTCTCTCCGATACCCAATCTCTCCGTTGGGTCGGTACTCAGATTTCAATTGCTGGTCCAGCCCCTTGAGTTCTGGCAATCACATCTGCTTGACAAGGCTGGATATGCAATTCTTTTCTACATGAAGTTCGTCTACAGAAATTCTCCTCCCAAAACGAGGAAAACATGACAACAAAACATTTTGATACTCCAAAGTTCCACTGAACCACAAAGACCGATTGATATCCTTTCCCTATAGTGTATAATGAGTAGGGGGCTGTCCGTCTCCCAGTAGAGCAACTCCGTAAAACGCCGGCCTGTCTCCCGGCTCTATTGGTATCATCGGTCTCTCTTTTCTTACAAGTCTTCTTCTTTCTCTCTGTCTTCTTCGTCGTCTTCCGTCTTCTCGTTCTTTAGCAAACGCAAGGAAAGATATCGTCGTCCTGTAAAGATGGACCTTTTCGTAGTCCAAAAAAGACCACCGACATGGTTGTACAGCAAAGGGGAAAATGTGATAGCTGATATCTCGCGGGCGGTAGTAGTACTCGAAGCCACCAAAAAAATCGTTTAGATGACCTCGTTCCGCTCGAATCCCTGCGCTCTCAGCGCGGCGTTGGGCTTCTCGCCGTCCTTGTACTCGCTGACGAACGGGTTGGGGTCCTCCTTCTGGTTGAGGTTGCTAAGCGTATGGTTTACGCCTCTGTGAACGGCCTCTGCAAATTTTGTGTTAGCATTCATCTTCTTCCACACATCCTTAAGGAGGGATATAAGAAAGGCAAATACGCACCATCGGCCCTGATATACAAAATCAAATCCTTCATCGTCCTCTGGCCCTCGGGAATCTTCCAATACTGCACCGCGATATCCGGGATCACAAAGTTCGGATCGGACCACTTAGGCAGCAGGCCCTGGTCGATCTCGTAGAGGCAGCGCGTATACGTGTGCACGGCCTCCTCCTCGAGGTACCCGACGAAGCGGTGGGTGATTTTGGGGGAGATGAGGTACGACAGGAACATGCCGTTGAAGAAGACGCCCTGGGCGCCGAGGATCATGACCTTCATGAACCAGCCCGGCTCCGACATCTTCATGAACATCAGGAGGTGCATGCGCTCGTTGAAGCTCTCCTCGAGGAGGGTCTCGATCCAGCCGTTGTCGCGCTTCATGCGGCGCAGGCTGCCGAGGTGGCGGAGCATGCCGGCGACCATGCCCGGGACTGTTTTACGGACGTTAGTCAGTCTTGCTGTGCCCAAGTTTGCGTGGCAACCCTCCCGTGAGAAAAAGGGGGGAAGAAGAAAAACTCACCTCCGGCAATACTCTCCAAAAAGATGAACCTCACCAGCCATTGCGCCTCGGTAAGCGGCTTATCGGCCACCAACGACGTGGTGGGATTCTTCTTGTCGACCTGCTGCTCGGAACCGAGCCCCGTGGCGCGGTCCATGAACCACCGCGCGAGCCGGACAAACTTCCACGCCGCCCAGTCGCCGACGGTGCGCGGCGCGCGGTGGTCCGGGACGATGTCGTGCATCTGCTGCTCCGTGTACCCCGGGTGCGGCCACGCCGGCGCCGTGAGGCGGATGTGTTCCGTCTCCTTGGCCGGAAAGAAGTCGCGGAGCTGTGTTGCCCGCGTCGTGGAGAAGGATCGGCCGGTGCTGGGGGTTACATGTTGCTGGAACGAGGAGGCGGCGGTGATGCGGAGGCCGGCGAAGGAGGTCGTGGTGGTGGTGGTGTTGTGGAGCGCCGCGGCGGCCCGGGCGAGATGGGCCGCTTGCTTCGGTGCGCAGAGTCTGGTTGATGCTCTTGATGACAGCATTGGGAAAGCCGTGGTAATGTGAATTGCTTTGGTGTAAGTCGGGGGTTGTGTGTAAGTCGAGTGACTAACTCTAAGAGTGATGTCAGGATATAGTGATGTCAAGAATGTACTTGATAGCTGGTGATGATGGAACGAGAGTCGTACGGCCTGAGGAACGGCTCACGACCCAGAGTCTTATATACCATTCGGAGGGGTGGTGGTTATACATGGTAGTTGTTGATACGGCGATGGGTGTTGGGTGTGAGTGGGGGAGGGGGTGGGAAGGGGAGCAGCAAGCAAAACCTGTCATATGGCAGACATTACACAACGGCATGAGCCATGGTCAGGGTATCCAAATCTGAATTATCGGCGAGGACGTAATTACCCAAGCCGACGAGGAAGAATAGGAATGGAAGGGGTCCTCTACGAAGAGGGATCGGGTAACCCAAGCCAAGCCCCATGGAATAGAGAGAAAGGAACCTGGTGTAAGAGCCTCAGGGAGACTTGTGATCCATGCGTTTGGTAGTCACAGGAAAAGTCGCCGAGAGTACGCCGTTGATAATAGGTACGCTAAGGTACAGCAAGTAAACGGCAGTGCAAAAGCGAGAGAAGGAAAAGTCAATTAGTCTCTTGGTTCGCATACTCTTGTCTGACGTCTTGCGGTCCCGATGTTACGGATACAGATGGGAACGCCGTCTTAGTGGGGGCGCAGGCGCGGGCGTTGGTAAAGCAATGCAGATTGGATTTGCAAAGGCCGCGGAGACAGGGATCTCAGTGCGTCGTAGGGCGTAGCGGAACCGACAGGGCCGTACGGAGGAGGAAGTGTGGAAATGCTGTCAAGTCAGCTGGACCAGATTGGCGGCGTTCATGTCGGGTCGTATCGGGATGTGAGTGTTTTTGTTCCAAATGCTCGACGTACGCAGTATACGGGGCGCACACAGGCATTGCTCAGCTACAGATTTCGGTCCGCTCCATTTTCGTGGGGCTGTGATTGGATGGGATACTGTCAGCTTTCTGCCTTGTCCCGTCGACTCGTGGTCTTTTGTTGTCTCTTTTTTTTCCTAATCAGAAACCAGCCGTCGTAATACAGAGTGTCTTATTTTGGTGTTTGCTTACTATTGCTTGCAGCTGCAGTGGTATCTTGTGTGATGACGGAACTGAAGTCCGCCGATGTACCGATTTTCTGCCATGCCGCTGGAATATCCAAAGATACGCCCTAAACATACAAGTATACGACTGAACAGCCATAGAGGGACTGAACAAAACCCTCGAGTCATGAAAGAGAAGAAGACTTGTCGATATCTTGCTCATTGGAGGGGTTCTAGAGTTGGACGGCGATTGAAGATCGCCCTTCATCTCCACTTGACAAGCTCTGGAGCCCGAGGAGGCCGGAGCGCCACTCTGCCAGACCAAACTTTCAAATCCCGTCTTGTTTGGCACTTGGCAAGCTGGCACAAGCACAGCAAATTTACGACATGCTCCGGGGAGCAGGGCGGAAACTTGTCACCCGACCCCGACCCCGACCCCGACCCCCGACTCCGATATTTCTCTCCGGAGGTCCAAGGCCATGCCATGTAGGCCGTAACGGCTTCCTATTTGGGTATCGTTGCTTCAAGTCCAAGACGAAAACTGCTCGCCCTTGATACGGAAATCCTAACAACGGGGACGAAATATCTGGGTTCTTAGTAATGCCTTGCGTGTCATGAAATGGGATCGATGGATTGACTCATTTGATGGATCTGAGACGGGGAAGGATCCATCGGAAATCCGCTCGAGGGTTCTGTCAATTGCCCAAATAAGTCAATGTAAGGCACGGCAGCGTAGATACCTGAGGGCCTATCAGGTAAAGGATTTTTCTGCTGGTCACGCTGGCGCAGTTTGAGGTTGTTTTCGAGTCAATATGCGGTGGACATCGGGAGAAGGCGGCTCTGTTGACGGGGAGCAACATCCGGAACGCTAGGGGAAGCGGGCCATGACCTCGACGACAATATTAATGCCGGTAGTACCTGAGGCTATTCATGGTGGACGATTTGTGATGCCTCACGAGGCTCCACTTTGCGTTCGCAACCCTTGACTGTCGTGCCTGCGCGAGATTTTCGCCGTCTCACGACATATTTGGTGTACGAATTCGACACATACGATGAGCAGATATCAATGGTGCCCATATGCTTGACCGGCTTCAGTATTCGACAAAACATTCATCGATGTATTTGGCCAAGGCGCGTTGTCGTCTTGAACGTGACACATGTTAAGAGTGGTTGACCTTCTTCACCGCGATCCGCCAGGGACCACAAGCAATGAAAGCAAAATGACAAATCTTCTTCAAGATGAGAATTGGGGTTCAAAAATTCCCTGGCCGGCCGAAGCCAACCAGAAGTGGTCATAGTTATAGTTTTCAACTAGCAAAAACACGATCTCGGACGAATCCTCACTGATACGCGTAAAGCCCTTGCACTCAGATGAAGAAGAAAGAGAGAAGAGAAACATGAAAGATTGACGGTGGGAGGTGGCCCTCTTATAGGGTTTGAGAGGTGCATGAGGTGGGTCCGCAATCAGTAAAAGCTACGTACCGGACTTAGGTGCCTTGGGTGCCTTGGGTTCCCGTTTTCCAGGCAGGCAGGTATCAGCCACCAGCCTCCAGGTTTCCTTCCTTTCGAATGGCTTCTGGTGAATGCCGCAGGGGTTGCCTTCTGCACGACCCACACGCAGGGATCGACCTGCCTGCCTGCCTTGAATACCAAGGTACATACCAAGACGACCTCTCACGATGCTCTGTGAACATCGACCTGAAGGCTTCGTAAGTCTGCACTCCTTATACACCATCATTACTGTTGGACAATATTTGGGAAATGTGCTATGATTGCAAGATGCTGACTAGAATTCCGCCTCCAGGGCCCAAAATCAGCTCTCTCCAGCTATCTGCCAACAACATGTTTCGCTGATGTCGTGGTCGTCCCACTGGCGACCTGGACTTACCTCGTCATTCTATTGATTGTCCTTCCACTATGTTTGCGCTCACTACGAGCGTCAGCGTCAGCGTCAGCTTCAGCCGTACCGTCGCACACGGCTGAAACGACCACGGCAGGAGACAAAGTCGCTGTGTCAACATCAGCGTCAACATCTATGCCGCCAGCAACCAAATCGACCTCCGTGGCCGTTAAGATTGCCAGCATCATCTATTACATACTCATAGTAGCCATGCTGGCCATGGTATCACTTGAGATTGCCCGGCTTATCGTCGCTCAGCTCGGGATTGGCCTCCTTCCCTTCACCTACGTTGGCATACTCGCCGCCCTGGCCCTCCACGTCGCTGCTGCGTCGACGACTACAGCATCCTGGCTTGGCGGTTTGCATGTCTACAGGGGTGACGCGCGGTGGCGATGGACAGTCAAGGGCGTCAACGTGCTATACTGGGTGATGTTGATGTGTGTGATGGCGATCAAGGTTGCCAGTCAGGCCAAGGAGCAGAACGTATTGGGGATACGGACGGGTCAGCAGGCGCAGTATCCTATTTCAGATTCCGTCACGGACAATGCGACCATGATAGGGGTGGAGTTTGTGCTATTGATCTTGGAGTTGTTGGCTATCTAATCATATTACCTTACAGTGTCATAGAGGTTCTAGGAGCTGAAATTGTACATCAGATGAGGAGCACACCGAACTGATCGTGCCTTGTGGTAGAGGTGGCGCCTTCCTCTGCAAAGTGACCGTGTGGCTGTGCGCGAGCCAAACAGAGCAGGCGCGGGGTCATTTTGGTGACTCACTGCACAGAAGTGCGGGATGTCCACGAGTCCTCCGTGAGGCCTTCCTTTCCTGACGGACTGGAGGTAAGGTAGCCTTTGCGACAGCCATGGAGTAGGTGCCAATGAGATTTGACTTGAAGTGGCAGCTAGTCCACTGAGGCCAATGAGGCCAATGAGGCCAAAAATGAGACTCTGTGAAAGTGTATTGTTGATGGCGAGGCTTACTCCGTTACCTCAGCAGAAATGAACAAGGGTGATGGCGGGGTTATGTTTTCAACCACCATTTGCCAGGGGTTAGGGAGAGAGAAAAAAAAAAAAGATCGAACCCCTCCACGACGTTCAATGAAGACCCCGCCTGCCGTTTCCAAAGTATTTAGCCAGAGTGCGCAACGCCGACGATGCCTCGATGGAGGCTTCTGGCAAAGAACCGCACTATTGCTCATCTTTAAGGCTGAATCGCAGTGTCCATATTCAAGACCAGGGCAGATGAGACTACACACTGTTCCCCCATTCACTTCTCCGGGGAAAAGATGTAGTGAAGCTGGCAGACAGAGCAGAGGTTCACTCACCTGCCTGTACACATCCCAAGCAGCATAAACACCTCACTGAATGTCTCAAATCAGAAGGCCTGCAGGAGGGACAGCTCGTTGGATGAGATGAATGCAAGCCATCTATGTAGTATTCGTCTATGAGTGAATGTAAGTGGACTGGAAGTCGAAGCTCCAGCGCACCTCCCCCGCTGCTGGTCGTGCTGCCGCTGCCGCCTTCGGCCTGGCTGGGCTGGGTTTTCCCTTCCTCGGGTTCCCCTCTGACAGTCCCTTCCCAAGTTCCTGCCCAACCACAGAGCCCCCTTGTTTTCCACAATTTGTTTCCTTCTCGACTTTAGCCAGACCGGACGGACTTCCCACTCCCCAAACTCTGTCCAAAAACTTCTTTGCAGTAGCCAACATCTCCGGAAAGATTCCTTGCAACATCTTAAGTCGCCCTCTTGTCGCGCTCTAGATTCTTGCATCTTTACCCTTTGGCCCCGCGTTCAACATCTCAAATCTGACATCATGCCTCCTAAGAAGTGGGGTGAGTTACGCCTTGTCCCGCACCGTACCGCACCGCACACGCACACAAATAATCGTGAGAGGCAAAATGTCGCGACGATCTGTCCAGTTTGGCCAGCGCAACTGCTGCCTCTCTTCCCCCCAAACGATATACTTGCTATTCCTATAGGATCTTACTAACTTCCATGTTCCTCACGTAGACGAAGAGAGCAGCGAAGAGGAGAGCTCCGGCCCTGCCTCCCCTATTGGCGGTGCTGTTCCTATCCGCCGCAAGTTCGAAGACGAGGAGGATGAGGATGACGTACGTCAAACGAAGTTACAAGGCCTACCATGTCGCCGCCCGTAAACTAACTCTTCTCATAAAGGTCCTCGACTCCTGGGATGCCGCCGAAGACTCCGAGGTCGAACGCGAAAAGGCTAAGAAGGCCGAGGAAGCAAAGGCCAAGGCTCTCGAGGAGGCTAAGAAGAACAAGAAGACCAAGGCCGAGCGCATCGCCGAACTGAAGGAGGAGCGTGCCCGCCTCGATGCCGATGACTCTGGCGAGGAGGAGACCGAGGCTGAGCGTCGTGAGCGCCTCCGCCGCACTGAGAAGGAGTCCGACCTGAAGCACGCCGAGGATCTCTTCGGTGATATCGGAGTCCCGGCCGGCCGCAAGGCTGTCCTCGCCGGCTCTGCTGTCCAGATCGACCCCAACGACCCTACCAAGACTGCCAACATTGCCTCCATGCCGCTCTTCAACCCCGTTACCAAGACCCAGTTCGAGCACCTCCGCACCACGCTGACCCCGATTCTCGCCAACAACGCCCGCAAGGCTCACTACGGCCTCTTCCTCCAGGAGTTCTCCAAGACCCTTGCCAAGGATCTACCCAGCGATCAGATTAAGAAGATTGCCAGCACTCTCACTGCCCTTGGTAACGAGAAGATGAAGGAAGAGAAGGCTGCCCAGGGCGGCAACAAGAAGAGCAAGGCGGCTAAGACTAAGGTCTCCGCCGTCGTCAGCCGTGCTCCCGCAGCTGACACTGAGACCTACGAGGATGATGGTTTCGGAGAGTAAGTCGATCTCTCAAGACTGCCATCTACCTTGAAATACTGACCCTTCGCTCTTCTTAGTGATGACTTTATGTGAAGCAAAAGGCAGGGTTGCATTATTCTCCCGCGCCCAGAGCTCAGCTCGTCTTATCTCAGCGAGTCTGCTCCGTGCCAATGGATCTGGCGCGGCTCCGTACCGAAGCTTGCCACAGCGACTTGGATTCAGAGCGCAAGTGTCGCTGTCGCGGACCCCGGCTGCGTCACGATGTAGATGGGGGTTCGGCATGACGAGGGTTCGTGGGCTACTGGGTCTGCCGGGAAGGCCATCTGGTTTAGACTGTGAGAGATGGCATCGGAAGTGGCGTCGCCTCAAAGCGGGAATGACGCTGATCATGGGGAAAAAAGCATTCACGGTCTAGAGGGCAAAGGGCCCAGTGCATTTTCGCGCATGATATCAAAGAAGCTCCCTACAAAAGGGTAGTTGTGGACAGCGTTAAGACATGATAGAACTGAATCATTCAAGCAAACTTGTGTAAAGCCCGCGCCATACGTCTGGAAAACTAGACTAGTATAACAGGCTGGCGTACCTATGTCTCTGCGTCTCCAAAGGATATATGTCATCTCTATGGAGCTATCCCTAAACGTCACAAGAAAGTAATTGGTCACTCTCCATAACGAGATGTCCTACTTGTACAGGAGTGCTCTCTCAACCAACTGACCTCCTATCGAGTCTGCTATGTTCTGTAGAGGTCTTCTCGCCTACGGGCCGTTTAGCAGCCATCAAGCCCGGCCTCCCACCATTTCAGGTCCCAAACAGCAACAGCACCCCAGCTTACTTTGGATAATTATGGATTTCCAGTTGTTAGGTCTCATTCGACTCAAAGCAACCACCCGCTCTCCTCTTGTCATCTTGCCCCCTTCCACCGAAGCCGAGGGACAAGATATCCCGAGACAAATGGGCTTTCCAACCCAGGTTTTTTTCTTCTTCGTAGACCACCTCCAGAGAGGGGCACAGTCCTGTAGCTACACAGCTGCATGCAACCGAAAATAAGGGTCCGCGGGGAAAGCTTTGTGGAGATGTATGTGTGCGTTGTGGTTGCGATAAGCGTCACCCAAGATCCTTGACGGTACGAAGTTTGATATTCATGCGCGCGCGTCACGCTGCCAGCGAACGAATTTCATGCCTCGAAGTACCTTGTGAGTGAGTCATACTATCAATGGAGATGGTACCCAACATGTCAACATCGCACGCGACGCGTCTTCGGTGAAGCATACGTTGTCAAAAAAAGGGGGTATCAATTATTTTGTTGTTTGCTCTTCCCCGTATACCTCATATTCCCCATGTAAAACGCCTCGTCTCCCAGACAGAATCCCAGAAGAAAAGGAAAAGAATTGGTTTGATGGGAACCCAATATCCCTCCCTTCTCCTATGTAGAGATGTTTGCCCTTTGTATATGTACATGATGGTTATTGTTTCCTCCCTTTCTCCATCTATACAAGATTTGTGAAAAAACGCCTCCCGTTTTCGAATATCATACGCTCATTAAAAGACAGCCGTGCTCACGTAGAGGGCAGGAAAAACAGAAGAAGCGAGGGGGAGAGGAGAGGGAGTTGAGAGGGTAAGTTTTTAAATGACATTGCCTGCCATGCCCATAAAGAGAGCATGGACGGCAAGACTCAGAGTCCAGAAGCCGACCTTTTTCAGCCGACGAACGCGGCTTTGCTGGTCCTCAATGTCGCGTGCAAAAGCCTCGTAGGTCTCGGCCGACATGTCGTCCATGAGACCGCAGTCAAAGATGGACCAGCTGCCGTCGAAATCGGTGTGTCGCTTGACTATGCGACAGTTGATGGGGATATACGTCTTCTTGGCGTTGATGTAGGCTACGATGGGGCGAACGAGCGCCTGGTTGATGTAGGAGATGTCTTTCGTGAAAAGGGGCACGGCGGCCTTGACATCGTTCATGTGGATTCGGAGATCCATGATTAGATATCTCCGGTCTTCTTCTGATGACTCGGAAGAACTGGAGGGGTCGGTAAATTCGGATTCTGTAGGCTTCTCGGGGACCTCTTCGGTGAGCTCTGGTATAGCTTGAGAAAGATGGCCCTTACTGGGTGTAGAGCCCCAAAGATCCGAGGCGGATGAGCCCACGATTTTGATGTCGAGCAGATCCTTCTGGAGCAGACGCATACGGTTGGATATGACGACGTCCTCAAGCTGGTCGTAAAGGTCTGACATGGCTTTGGTGATGCCATCGTCAACGTCCGCTGGAAACATGACATCTGCGACAATGTCTACGTTTCCCTCGTAAATCCAGCCGAACGGTCCCTCTACGCCACGGTTGAGATGGTCGATTTTGAGACCATCGATGCGCAAGCGGCTGAACTTCTTCCAAGCTGCCGGCTCGCCCACATCCTCTGCCATGTCTCCGTTCTCGCTAGCAATAGTACCGTGTACTTGTCGGGGGTGAATGGTGAATAGAGAGCCATCAAATGATCCCGACATGTGGGTTGCTGATAGGAAGTCGTAAAAGAGCCACTGTTTCCTGAGCTGTGGCAATTCGCATGAGAAGATGCTGACGGAGAATGGTCGGAAGCCCTTGGGCTGGTGAACTGTAACGAGTAGATCCTCGAGTTTGAAAGAGTCGATCTCGAAATCGCCGGGCTCGTGGGTATGGCGGTATGATAGAGGATCGACCACCTCGTCAGACCACTGCACAGATGTGCGATCAACGACACCACGAACCCCCTTGACCTCAACATCTTTCAGGAAACCCTTGCCGTTCCACCACTTCAAGAATGACAGTGTCACATTTACAGTTGCGATCGACACGTCGTATTGTGTGTAGTTGCCATCATCCTCTTCCAAGACCTGGCCGTCCTGGTCTGGCTGATTTCCAGTCGCAGCCATGGCGGCAGCGCTCTCTGAAGAGCCCTTGCTGACCGAAGACTTGACCTGTCCGGGTCGCCGTGACACAAAGACGTTCTTGAAGCTGATCACGCCATCTCCCCACTTGGGAACAATTGCCGATTCGAAGACGACCGTGACGCCTGCAGACTCGGTCAAAGAATCGCCTACCCATTTGGCAAGAGTTTCTGTCCAAAACGTTCAGCAACTGGGCATGGCACAAAAATAGAGGGGAGCTTACCTTGCGCAAAGACGGTGTTGATGCTGAGAATGATCAGCGAGAAGAAGGTGGTGGTACCGACCAGAATCCAGACTAGATGACCAAACAGGAACCACGAAACGAAGGCGCCCCATTCATCAATATTCCACGGCCTCATACTCCTAATAGATGCCCACTTGAATCGAACTTTCATCCGACCCAGGAAGCCGTTCGCTGCGGCCAATAGCTCATCCCGGGTGGGCCGGTGCGGCATCTTTGGAATGTGCAAATATTTCGACACGGTGGATGCGATCGATTCGGCGTCAGGGTCCGGTGCTTCTGGCTTGCCCTGCTCCCCGGCCTTGGGAGTATCCTGCTTCGTCTGGGTTGTCGGACTCTTTTCCTCATGCTTTCCACTCTTGGAGCTATGGTGCCTCCTTTCGGCCGGGCTTACGGTGCCTCTCGAATCGGTATGTATGCCTCGTCGCCATGCTTGCCGGGCCAGTTGGTAGATATTCGACTTCTTCGTCAAGCTGGTGCTCGTAGCGGATTCTGCAGCAACCGCACAAGCTGCCGATGCTTGCGTGGGTGTGAGTTCTGTGGTAAACCCAACCAGCAGCAGTCCGCTGCCTGTATAGCTTCGTCGCGCATTGTGGATGTTCGGTCGAGGAAACGAGTGTTGTGACCCGGAGTGTATCGACCTTCTGAACGTGCTCGACCTAGGGAGAGAAGGGCTGACGGTAGATTGACTGGCTTTCAAGCAGGTATTTCTCGTCGTCGCTGTTGTGATGGTCGTTCCTCGCAAACCCAGAGTCTGCGCTGATCCGCAGGCGCAAGACCAGAAGCGACGCCCAAGAAGAGTTGACGAAGCGTTAGACATTTCTCAAGCTCATCCTGTCTCTTGGTTGAACAGAGAGACAGCAACAAGAAGAAAGGACGAGGAGGGAGGAGAAACGACCCTGTTTATTTACCGCAGCAACAAATGGACCAAAGAACAACACGGTCAGAGGGGTTGGAGCAAGGCAAGTATCGAGGGAGGCACGGCAAATGTTAGCACATTTCATGCGCTCATGCAGAAATGACTGAGATGCAAAGCTGGGCCAGGGAAGGGCAAGCCTGTGAAAAGTCATCCATGACGCGCTACCGCAGCTCTAGGTACCTCGCTGAACCCGGCTGGACCCGTTCCAAAGGCACCTTACGTATGGGGCGTCCGCGCTTCCAGCAGAAAAATTCAGAGGCGCATCATGGCCCGTGCCTCGAGTCTGGGCCCAATGCTGGTCCTAGGCCTTCGGGCCTGTTGCTGACTTGCTGACATAAGATCCGCAAAGGCTTAACGGTGCACGATGCTAAAGTGCTTAGCCCATCAGAACCCCCAGGCCTTATCGCCTTATCGATAGCGAAACACAAAATTTTGGGAATTCGGCGATAAATCGATACTGGCTCACGACTGGCACCCGGCGCTTTTTTCTTCACGACCGCCTGCCCACCCCGCCAGACCGACTCGGCTCGATACCACACAACCCAAAGAAACACCACCACCACCGAAGCGATATATACACCCTTGATCGAATATCGCTGCCTTTCTCCCGATTCCTTCGAGATCTTTCGGAAACCGAAAACGAAACGCTGCCCAACATGCCTGCCCCGACCGCCAAGCAGGTAGAGGTTTCTGCCCCGCCATTCGAGGCGGCCTTCCAAGAGCCTCAGCAAGACGAGGAGCTCCTCCTCGATGCGCCCGCCCTACCCGAGGAGATGGACGCGATCCTTCCCAGCGTGCCGCAGAACGGAGAGGAAGGCGAAATGGTCGTCGACGAGGAGAACCGCCCGCGCTTTGCGCCCGCCAGAGACATTGTGCGACAGACCCTTCTTGAGACTTAAGAGAACACTGGGAAAGACTAAGACGTATTTTGTGCCCAGGACCCCGTCACCAGAATAGAGACTCGCAAGGTCCCCGTGCCTCCTCATCGGTTCACCCCGCTTAAGTCTTCTTGGCCCAAGAGTACGCTTCACAGAGTTCCCTATGCCACGGGCAATGACGCACCGTTCATTCTCTCTAACATTTTCTCGCTCTGCAGTTTACCCCCCGCTCGTCGAGCACCTCAAGCTCCAGGTCCGCATGAACCCCCGCCGGAAACAGGTTGAGCTTCGGACCTCGAAGCACACCACCGAGGACGGCGCCCTGCAAAAGGGCGAGGACTTCGTCAAGGCCTTCACCCTGGGCTTCGACGTCGACGATGCTATTGCGCTGCTGCGTTTGGACGACCTTTACAGTAAGCCGGAACAATCTTTCGCTGAATACTAGACTCAGCAACTGACGAAACTATGTAGTCGAGACTTTTGAGATTCGCGATGTCAAGCAGGTTATGGGTAACGAGGCGCAAGGCCGTGCTATTGGTCGCATTGCAGGCAAGGACGGCAAGACAAAGTGTATGGAGAACATCCCGAGTCTGGACAGAGAAGCCCCCTTTTTTTTTACTAACATGAGACTTATTCAGTCGCCATCGAAAACGCCAGCAAGACCCGTATCGTCCTGGCCGACAGCAAGATCCACATCCTCGGCGCATACAAGAACATCCACATGGCTCGCGAGTCCATTGTTAGCTTGATTCTCGGAAAGCCGCCTTCCAAGGTCTACGGCAACCTGCGGACGGTCGCGGCGCGCATGAAGGAGAGATTCTAGAGAACAAAAGTAAAAAAGTAAACAACAAAAATTGAGGGAAAATTCCCCCCAGCTTGGACAAATGACAAGGGCAAAAAAGAAGAGAAAGCTTCGAGAGAGGAGAGGGAACCGTGGAAGAAAAGACTTTTTCATTTTTGGTGGGTTTAATGATTGGCATGAATGGCATCCTATCATGGACTTCTGGCGTTGTGGGCATTTTAGAGAGATTCCAAAAACTTTTCATCCAGGACTAGGGGACAATGAAAGAGAAATTTTGAACAGCTTTCGAGCTTATGAACATGGAATGTGATACGTATGCGCTAGTATACACTACTAAAGGATAATTGTATACGGAGATATTCGCAAAGGGTGACCTATTCTACGTACCTGCGGACTAAGGTAGAATACACACAACAACAAAATATACATTAAATGAATGGTTTGAGATTCCAACATCTGCTCCTTCGCTCTGTATGACCGTGAAGCGAATACATTCCATCCTTGACCTCTGTCTCTGCGCCTAGTAGGAAGGCTTCCACCATCACTCTGCGAGATTTCAATGTTTTATCAAGACGGCCTCTATCGAACCATTGCCGACAGGAGATACTGGTGGACAATTATGCCTACCTTGCCGCCGCAAAATCGTACAAGCATCATGACATCAAGATCAAGTATGAGGCAAACAATATGGTCTCCCCCATACTCTTTGAACCAAGTGACAGCTTCATCACAACCACACAGCCCAAGACAAAAAGGTAAGAAATGTCCGTAATGCGTTACTCCATAGACGTCTATACGTGCCTAACCCCCCAAATCGAAGAAAGACTTTTTACATCATTGGCCACTCTACCCCGGCGGCAGCCCGACTTGTCAAGCCATGCCTTTTATCCAGGCTGTCTTGGACTGAACTGGCATTAAAACCTTTTTCCACTCCCATCTTCCCCTTGCTCTCTCCATCTCTCTCCGATTTCGCCCCTGTCTCTCAGCTAAATGCTTCAAGCGTATTCAAATCTTCAGAAAATTCACTGAAGATACGAGGGTTTGTTGTTGTTGCGTGTGTAATGTGGCGCTCATGTTCATTTCGAGCAGACAAAGTTATTACTCTTCATGAATGACCGCTTACTCCTCATCACCCTCACCCGCCTCGGGCACCTCCTCCGCCTCGTCGTCGCCATCAAGGCCGCCAGAGGGGAGCTCGTACAGGCGGAGGATGGACTTGTTGGGGTCCTTGACGAGGATGTACTTGCCGTCCTGCTCGCGTCTGAGACACATGTCGGCAATGGTGCGGACGATACCCCAACCGTTGGACAGAGACAGGTTCATCTGGTTGGCGAAGTCACGGGGCTTCCAGCCGACGACGCCGAGGATGACGTGCTTGTCGTTGGACTTGGGGTTGGCGCGAGAGACGAAACTGTAGAGAGTGTGTTAGCATCGGCTTCGTTTATTCAATGGAGATGAACAAAATGAGAAAAAACGCACCCAAGCTTCATGACGTCGGCACGGGCGAGGATGCTCTGCACCGTCCACCTGGCGAGCTTGCACGAGTTGTTCTTCATCTCCGTGGCGACGACGGCACCGCGCTGGGAGACGAGCTTCGTCCGCCAGTCGAGGGCACCACCGCTGCCCTGGGCCTTGTTGTCGAACTCGTTGAGCGCGTGCAGGGTGACGAGCTGGTCGTCGCCGCTGATGGCGTTCTTCTGGACGGCGTCGACCTCGGTACGGACGACGAGGTAGAAGTTGTCCTCCTCGCTGTTGGTGGAGAGGTCGAACTTGCGGTACTTGTAGGCCTTGCTGGCCGGAGGGTCCGTGTCCTCGGAGGCGTTGTAGAAGGGGTTGGCGTTGGTCATCTCGAGCTTCTGGCCCTCGCTCTCGACGACGACCTGGTTGGCAAAGTTGTGGTTGATGTAGGTGGCCTCCTCGGCGAGGGCGCCGGGCATGTTGAGGCTATCCTTGGAGCCGTCCGAGGCGTCCATGGGGGAGTCGGCAGCGTTCTCGTTGACGGTGACCATGTCGAGCGCGGCGTTATCGCGCTTGTCGAAGAAGACCTTGTTGCCCTGCACCGAGATGACAATATCCCAGGGGTAGACGGATCGCGGGGAGCACATGAGCATGGAGAGGATGCTGTCTGTGGCGAAGATGGAGGCCTCGTCCTTGTCGGCGAGCTCCTGGATCACAGGATCGGAAGAAGTCGTGACATTGTACGCAGCGCGGTCAATGGCGTTGAGCTTGCGCTCGAAGCCCTTGACGGCGGGCTTGTCGTAAGAGCGATCGTAGTTGTAGACGAAGCCGTAGGCGTCAATCTCCTCGCCCTCATCGGCGTCCAGGTTGAGCTTGGCGAGGCGGTTGTAGTCAATCTCCTCGAGCAACTTCCAGTCGGCCTTGATGTTAACACTGGCGTCACGGTTGCGGGCGGGCTTGTCGTAGTCCTTCCAGCCGAAGCGGCGGCCACCACGGCCACCGCCTCTTCCGCCCCGTTCGAAGCCTCCTCCATAGCCTCCGCGGCCGCCCTGCTGGCCGCCACGGGCGACGGTCGTCCGGCCACCGCGAGCGTTCTGAGCGGGACCTCCACGCTGGCCGCGGCCGCGGGTGAAGACGGCGCCACGGCCGAATCTTGTCTTGGTGCTGTCGCGGGTGTTGCTGACGACGGAGAAGGTGGACTCGTCCTCGGCGGGAGGGGCGTTGAAGGAGATGGCGTGGCCGGCACCGTAGACTTGTTGGTCTTGAAAGGAGGCAAGAGAGTCAGCGACGATGTCGTCTTCTTGGAGGGTTTCGTAGCTAAAGCTAGAGGAGGAAGAGGTGATGCTTACCACGGTAGTTACGGTTGTACTGCTGTCTGCCACCACGTCCGTCTCTGTCCTTGCCCTCGGAGGTCCAGTCGGCCATGCGACCAAGCTTGTCGCCTTTGGAGAAGGGCGCATAGGGGACACCGTTCAAGGTAGTCTCGGTGGTGACGGGCGGGCCCCAACCATCGCCGGCCGGGCAAGTCTCGACGAGCTTGACCCAGTCCATTTCCTGAGCCATGTTGAAAATGATTTTCTTCCTTGGCTATTGAGGTCGAAGTCGAAATCGAAATCGGTCTAGCTGTGCGTCTTTCAGTAGGGGAAAGGGGGGTGGCAGCAGCGCTCTCGGGCTTCTGAAAGATGGAAAAGTCGTCAAGGGTTTGGGTGGTGCACACCTCCTCTTGCCGTTGATTTTCGACGTTCGGATTTGGTGGGGTGAACTTTGTGGGGCAGAGCGGGCAAAATTTCAAAGTCTTGTGTTTCGACACCTGGCGGCGACTGACAGCCACTCGTTTCCACGCGACGCGGGGCCACTGCCAGCCACGGCCGACTTGCATCGTGGCCGCGAAACACCAAGCCATTCGTTCGTAACCGCAAGGTACCTTTTGGCTATCTATTCACACAGTGAATCACTCATCCGAAAATACATCTCACCAGTCTCATTACGAGCTCATGTTTTCACGATGTTGTCCTCAAAATATTCAAGAAAATGTACATATCATTAAGGCCGTGGTATCAAAAGTAGTCCCCAAGATTCCCAGAATAAGCTCCAAGTATTTCTAGTTTGAGCCTCTCTTCACACCAAGTCACGCGTACAAAGATTCACTGAATCTCCTGATGAAGTGCCCCTCTCGTTGCCCGAGTGGGTTCATGCCAGACGCTTTTAGTAGGCGTAGTTCATCATTTCCGGTCCGGAGCAGAAGACGTTCTCCAACGCGTCCCTGACCTCGAACTCCTCCATAACGGCTCCAAAGCTAGTCACAGTCAGTATGAGCCGCAACTAGTGTGAAGAACAGTGTAGATACGTACCCGTAGCATCGGACCTTGTCCTTGAGCTCGTCAGTGAGCTTTTGGAAATCCTCGGCGCGGAGTTCGTGAGCTCTAGGGTGGCCCAGAACCATACCCCAAGCCATGACCGGCGTGACCTCCCCATCGAGGTTAAGCTTCTTGCTGAGATCAAGCAAGGCCGAAAGGCTGCCTTTGCTCACTTCCCACGTCCTCTGCTGGGAGTCCAGGTCTCCATTGACATTGCTGTACCCGAACGGGATGTCAGGTGTAAGCTCTGGGAAGGGCGCCGGGGGGCACGAGGCCATCAGCGCGTGTCCGCAGGGCTCGCCGCCCATCTCGCTTGATCTCTCCAACAGCCAAGGCATGTGATTCATGCAGGGTTTCTCGAGACTGTTACATACCCTCGATAAAATCGCACTCGTCAGCAAGCTCTTCTTCCGTTCGTTGCAATCATCGCTCACACCACCCGACTCCCGAGGATGTCCAGGACTTGGTGATATGACAAGTACTTTTCACTGCGGGGGAGGTGATAGGTATGCCTTCGAGGGCGAGGGATGGTGGTTATCGTACGTTAAGACGAAGTCAATGCCCGCTTGCTCAAAGTCCACACCTCTACCAGAGCTCTGCCCTTGTCTATTTTGTTGCAGTTGCTGGCTGCCCATCTGGGGAAGGGGAGGGGGCAGACCGTGGGGGTAAGACGGACCGTGAGACGAAGGCGACACCGACGGCGCTGTCGTCGACGTCAAAGGTGGCGTATAGGCGTTCTGGCCGTAGCTGTGGCCCGACTGGCTGGCACTCGATGTGTAGCCTCCGCTAGGGTTGCTGACCATATCGTCACCATAGTGAGATAGAGGGATTCCGTTCTGGACCAGGAGTTGCTTGAGTTGCCTGTTCTCCTCGGCTACCTTGTCCTTGTCTTGCGATATGTTGCTGAAGATTTCTTTCAATCTAAGGACCTCATCTTCCAGAGCCTTGATGTAAAGCTCTTTTCTTTCACGATGCGTACTGCAAGCTCCACCGTCAGTACCCCGGTCGTTTCGCTTGATCCTCCGGCAATATCGTCCGTTACTCACCGTTGTGCCTGTCTGTTCAATTCTTGTCGCCGAGTTAGAGCAGGTTTACTGTCGGGTTTCGGTCCTCTCCTTTTGGGTGTTTGCCCGTCTACGAATACGCGTTGTCAGAACAGTCTCCCTTCTGGCACGGATATATCGTCGACCCTACCTCGCGTTGTCCTCTTTTCTGTCAGGGACTTGAGAAAGCCCAAATTCAAGGAGCTCAAAGGGCCCCGCTCTTGGTCGGAGCCAGAGCCGCCGCCACCATACTGGCCCTGCGACGGCTGCTTCCCGTACTGGTCAGGCGACAACGAGGAAGCCATCGCTGCCCTCTCGTGAAGCTCGCCCACAGACTGTTTGCGTGCCGGAGAAGATGACTGGTTCGGCGGGGAGCGATAAGCTGCTAAATTTCCTAGGTCAGTCATTGTGTCGATCTAGAACCATTGCAACGAAGAGAGAAAGGGCTTAAGAAGCGCAGCAGTTCATATCGTCATGTGAAAAGGGTAAACACCAAGGCTATAGCGGGGGGTCATGTCTTTACAAATACGTCTCGATTCGTGGCGTACCCGACCAGCCGGAGTAGACAGGATGACTTGAGGGGCTTACCTGGGAAGATTGGATGCGCGATGGTCAGGCTTCCACTTGGACTGGCAATACGATGCTGTGTGACGGTGGTTGTCGTCCGTCAAAGCAGGGGATGTTGCGGTGGAAAGGGATCGAGCCGTTCACGGCTGTATCATGCGCTGTGCTCTTCCGAACCGCGATTATGGTTATTTGAGAAGCTCTTCTCGAACGTGAAACCCAATTCTGGCGTCCGAGCTGTCTGAGGATGCTATGCGGTTGCGACGAGGGGACGAGCAGGGCGCGGGGAGTAGAAGGGTCGGGGTAGGCTGGGTAGATTAATCCGCCCTGTTTTAGAATTGTTTGACACAGTCCAGACGAAGAGGATGGATGTCGTGCGTCCGGGGGTGGTTGGACGGTTGCAGTCTGGCTTTTTCTGGCTCTGGTTCTGGTTCAGGCTCAATCAAGCAAGCTTGGGCTCGGAGTTATCCTGGACCTGAGGTAATCACTGTCCGCCTAACAGCTTGGGGTTGGGGACCTGGGATTGGGGGGTAAGGGGAGTCTGGAAATGGGTTGGAAGAGGGTAGTAACAGAAAAGGGCAGAGGTGATAAGGAGAGAACGGATGACGGCGGAGCGGAGAAACCACCAAGAAGGTAAGGTAGAGACGGGGGGCGCGTTAAGAGCCCTTGGTTTCGTCCTTTGGCTGTGGCTCACTTCTGCGCTGGTGGCCAATGTTTGTCGCGAATCGAGATGACAAGAGGCAGCGCCACCGCCCTCTTCTAAGACAAGATGGCGGAACTTGGAAGTCGAGAGCAGCAGGCGGACACGGGCGGGCGGCCAAGGCGGTCGTTGGTCCAGTCAGGTCAATCAATCAGGAAGCCCAACGAGTTATGGTACGTCGTCTGGATGAGAGCAGCGAAAAGGATGACGGGAGGGTGAATGAATATGCGGGGTTTCAGCAGTAGCAGCAGCAGCAGCAGCAGCAGCCCGTCACTCGGATCGAATCGATGTTGAGCCCCTCAGTGATAATGATGGTAATGAAGGGAGAGAAAGTGGCAGTTCGGCTAGCTAACAGCAGGCGTTCGCAACTCTGACTTGGAAAGCCTTAGGTGGGCAGTCTGTCGGTCTACCTAGTTCATAGAGGCTTCCAAGAAAACCCCGGAGACGGATCCTTGCGTCAAGGCCGAATGCCAATGGGTCACCCCAGTCATCAAGGCTCAAAGGTACCTTAGTTAGGCGGTGCTGGTTTGGCCTAGGACTTGAACGATCAAGTCCGATTTCGTTGCTTTTTCGGAATCATCGGCGGTTCCACGCACTTCTGTCCCCTTAGTTCGTCTGCCTTACCGCGAGAGAAAGAACGTCGGCTGGAGTGGCAGTCTGACGAAGCTGACGAACAGAAGGCCCTCTCGAGATTCGTCACCGGATAGGGCTATGCCATGTCGAATAGCTACTTGGGCATCTTGCAGGGGCGAGCTCCAGCTATGGTGAGGCCGAGGAGAAGCGGCACGCGGCGTAGCCAGTATTGACTATGTGACAAATATTGGAATTTTGTGTTGGCGCCGGTACTGACATAGGCGGGGGTAAAGGAAGGCGCCTTCCGTGGACGGCGGGCGACGGTTCCTGGTCTAGACCCTTAAGCCTACGATCCGTTGGCGGTTGAGTGAAGACCAGCAGCGGCGTGCCCGTGGCTGGCCAGGGCCTCTCTCTCTCTCTCTTTCACACGCACGTCTCTATCTCTGTATCCGTGTTGTGATATTGGATCATGGTGGTCCAGAAACCACGTACTCAAGCTATCGAATGCTCCCAGTTTCGGCTGGGCTTTGTACAAATGAACGGCCCGAGGGCAGACCGAGTACGGCTGGGAAAAGGAGGCTTCAGAGGCTTCCAAGTTCCGCCAGAGCGCACAAAGTGCTGCGCCGGTACTCCGTACAAGCGGGGAGGAATGAGGGGAGCGAATATTCCTCCACGGGTGCCTCAACCGTTATCCTCATTCCTCTCAGCTGCTTTCTTTCCGACAAAGAAGAGTAGATAGTCTCAGTAGAGACATGGAGCGAGAGGTTCGGGTGCGGCATTCGGTCCTCATCCTTGCTGCTGTTGCTTCGTCTGCCTGGAATGCTTTCGTTTGGCTTGACTTGCTTGACTCGGCGTCCCATCCACCTACGCTCCAGTTCTGCTCCCCAGCGCCGGCATCAACTCCGTCTCCAAGGACCAACAGTCCTCCAAACTCCAACCACGAGTCCCCAACTCAGACCCAGACCCTTGAGACCCCTGGTGGTAGGTGAGGGGCATGTTTGCTTGTTTGCTCGCTTATCAGAATTGCTCGTCTTGGAATCGTCAGATTCCTATGCACGAGAGCCCTCGCAAGACAGAAGTAGAAGCCCATACGTCCGTACGGAACGTGTCACAATTCTGACCCCTTGCTAGACCAACACTTCTCCATGGCAGACGCACACGTGCGAGCTTGCATTTCTGCTGGCCAGCGGCGCGTCAAAAGTTTCTTGTTGCGATGCAATCATCTAGCCTGCGAAACTCTGCGCGTAAATCCCATCTCTCTCAAGTCTCCCATCCACACAGACCTCGGTCCAATGGCCGCGTTGACATCGGACGAGCCGGGAAAAAAGCCAAGAGTCCCTTAACTGGACCTCACACTTGACGGTCTATTTTGAGCTTTGAATATCTTGCAAACGAATGCACATATGACTACTTATATATGCAGCCAACCTTAACACTCGAGCACCCCTCTGTCCGTGTGTCCAGTGTGCACATCTCGTCGCATGTCGAATGAAATCCGGCCTGTCGTAGAGCTGTCGGGTGCTTCAATGCTGGCACTTTGACGTCTCACTCGTCCCTTCGAGACCTTTCAGGCTCGGCCCATGTGATTAACGGCCAGGAACGTGAAATCCCTGTCTTTGAGTGATTCGGAGGGGGCTCCTCGCTCACATAATTGAGTTAAGCCCGCAGTTTGTCAGTCGGCCCACGGAGATCGTTCATTGACCTCTGCCAAAAGTCCATGCCGTCATTTTACCCCATTTGGGAACTTGGGCGGGACCGGACGTCTCTGCTAGCAGAAGCCAGCCACAGTAGCATCGTGTTTCCTTTTCCCCGATTCTTGTGCTGTCGCAATCATGTCCTTTGAGAAGATCATCAGCCCACGATCGCCAAACTGTAAAGCTTCCTCCTCGTTGGCAGCAAGGAACACGGCTATAACTGTGCTTGTCCACTGAGCGGGAAGAGGAACGCGCATCTCTGAGACGAGTGAACCCCGGATCATCGCCCGCTCGTTCGAAACCTTCACCCTTGATCTGCTGGCCTAAAGGTCACGCGCGCACGCGGCTCCCTTTCGAAACATCCCTTGGTCTAGGGCAGGGTGTCTTGGGTTGTAGATCGGTTTGCCGCGCTTCGGCTCGCCCACTAGACGGCCAACCTTAATCTTTTCTTTTGGGACGTCGCCAGTTGCGAAGTAACTCAGAGTGTAATCATTTTCGTGCATCGATTCACCTTCTTACGCCTCGCTCTCGGATTCCACTAGAGTGAGCCCTGACGATTGACCTCTCAACGGTCATGGCTGGCCACGGCAACATGCTCACTCACTTCCGAGGAGCTGCCATTCTGGCGCCTTGGGTTCTTTGGTTGCTTGTGGCAGATACCGCCATCTCACTGCAGCTCCCGCTGAAATGGCTCGCTCCGGAATTCGTGTACAACTCCTCGTCACGGATCGCCGAGACAGTTTGGTACTGGATCCAGATCATCTTTGAAAGATATAATGGCGCCAACATTACATTTTCCGGCGATGCCCTTCCCCGCGGGGAGTCGGCTGTAGTAGTCGCCAACCACGTCGGATGGGCGGACTTTTACATGATCCAAGCTCTCGCGATTAAAGCCGGCATGCTGGGTCGTTGCCGTTACTTTGCCAAGATCCAGCTGCGGATAGTTCCATTTCTTGGTTGGGGTC